CTGCTGACGGCCAGCCCCCCTGCTGTGTCACCCCAGAACACTTTCACAAGCCAAGGGAAATGTCCTGGAGAGTGCCAGGAGCTGGCTGCATGGCATCTCCATGCTCCTGCCGACCACAGAGGGATTCCCAACAGATTCCTGCACCCCAACAGTTCTCCCTACCCTCTTGTACTGGGATCCACAGGGCACCCAACTATGGATACACGAGGTATCGAGGTCCTGTGTGTCCTCTCTGTACTCCTTGAGCTTCACCCACCTTCCAGCAACTTCCTGAGCTGCTTCTCCTTCTTGGCGATCTCGTTCAGGAAGAGCTTGGAGTTGAGGTGGCCGATTTTGGGTGGAGGCAGGCTGCCACCTGTACAGTTCTGGGTCCTGTTGGAGGCCACAGGCATAAAGGAGAGGCGTGAGGGACAACATACCCTCACAGGAGGTCAGACAAATCCTTCCGCTATACCCTCCCAGGGCAGCAGGGAACTGGTTTCTCTGGACACCTTCCCTGTCCAGCTTTGCTGTGAAGATCCCATGCCAGGGTGCACCTCCCCCAGCCCCCTGTCTCCCCTCATGGAGCTCCCCTCTGCTCCCCAGGCACCAGCTTCAAGCCCCTGCCCTGCCTCTACCCCAGCAGAGCTGACTGAGCCCTGGGTCCCAGCTCTGCCCTTCCACAAGCACACCACTGTGTTTCCTGTATTCCAAAGGGAGGACATGACTCAATGGCTGCAGGAGGGGATTTTTCATCCTCCCAGACAGAGAGGGAAAGGGAGGCACGGAGCATGTGTCCCCAGGCCCTGCTCCTCCTCTGGAGATTGTGCTGCTGCCATCCCTGCAACAGCCCCGTCCCCCCCAGCTCTGCCCCATCACGCTTACCTGTCCATTAAGATTTTCACAGACTTCGTGTTCTAGGAAGGGAAGGAGAAGCTCTGGTCAGTAAGGCCAATTCGTGCCCTGGTGACCACCTCCCTTCTGGTATCACCTTCTGTGCCCTCCCCAGGAGGGCACAGGCTGCCCAGGGGTGCTGAGCCCCATCTTCCCCCCATCATGGGCTGCCCCAGCTTCATCTCCAGCTGTGTCACCTCCTCATTTGAGGCCACGGCTCAGCCTGCCCCACTCCTCCCACTGCTGAGCCTCTGGAAGCATCAGTTAGCCCTGTCAGCGTCCCCAGCCCGCTCCCCACCATGCCCCTTGCCTCTCTGATGCTCCCTGCACAACCAGACCCCCTCATGGCCCCCATCGCACCCACGGCACAGGCAGCTTGTCTCACCTTCATGAAGTTGATGTCCTCGGTTTTGTCAAACATGACCTGGACAGAGCTGAGGAGCTTCTTCGCCTCCTGCATGCGCTCGTTGAGGTGGAGGACCTGGGCTGCGTTCTCATTGCAGAACTTGGCCTGGGCCTTGTCCAGGATCTCCATGGTCTTCCGCAAGTCCTCGTCCAAGATCTGGTGCATCTTCTCATACTGCAGGCGCACTTCGTCCTTCAGCTGGCTCACCTTCTCCTGGGGGAGAGGAGCAGGGTCAGGCTCTCTGTGCCCTCCAGCCTCCACCATGATGTCCCCTTGGTCCTGTTCCCAGCAAGGGTGGGTGTGACCTGAGAACTGCACTACATCTCTGCTCTGCTGCAACACCCACACAGATCAAACCCTGCCACCAGCTGCCACATGGGACTCCTATGTGCCAGAGACCCAGCAGAGACACTGTGGAGGTTTGGTTGATCCAGCAGACCCCCAGGACCTACCTCCTGGGTATAGGTGGGGATTGCCTCTAGAGAGCTAATGCCAAGCAACAACCTGTCACACCACTGAGGCAGGTGTGCTCCCCTGAAAAACCCTGCCCATCCCCAGCTTCGTCTTCATCCTCATTCCCATCCCCATCTTTGTCCTCATCCCCATCCCCATCCCAGGCTGCGGACATGCCACACTCCAGAGCCGTTCTCTCCATGCTCTGGGAGGCTGAGGGGTTTTAAGAACTACAAGCTGACCTTGTTTTACCTGCGTCCCAGCAAAACACACACTTACATCTCTTCCACTTCCTGGGTATTTCAGCGGTTGATTTGGGGATCTCCCACCTACAGACCCTCTTCTCTTGCTTGGGATGAAGCGGGTGGCACAGGGAAGGCTGTGCTAAGCTGAGGGCAGGGTGGGCCATCTAATATTTAAGGACAGCATTGTTCCTCACTTCTCAACTCACCCCAGGCTGTAGGGCAGCCCCAAACGCATTTTGTCTTCCAAAAGGATAACTGCCAAGACTGGAATGGAGACAGCAGGTCTGTCTGGCCACCCTTTCCCTGCACGTCCTCCCTCCTCCCTGTCCACCAGGCCCTCACGCCCCAGGAGCCTGTCCCTGCTGCACCACAGGTGACAGTCCCCAGGGCTGGCTGCAGCAGGGTGAAGCACCAGTTACCTCGACCAGCCGCTTGTCCGATTCCAGCTTGTAGAGCTGCTCTTCGATGTCCTGCTCCCGCTCCTCCAGGCGGTCCTGCTGCTTCATCAGCATCTTCTGCAGAGATGGGGGAGAGGAGCAGCCGTCAGAAGCCCCGCGTGCCGGGAAGCTTCGGTGCCTCCCGCCGCCACCCTGCCCTGCCCTGCCCACGGGGGGCTCGGGAGGGACAGTGCTGCTTCCCGGCAGGATGCTGCTGCCGAGCGGAAAGCCCACGCACGGCGGCGGGAGATGGAAACCACGCAGAGGGGACGGGGCTGCGGGGCTGCCTTTTCCAGCTAGGGACCTTGATTTGGGTCCTCTGGGTGGGGCCAGCCCCTCGGGTGAGTTTTTGCAGCCCAGTCACTGGGGTTTGGTTGGAGCAAAGCGCTGGGGACCCTGGGGGAACACAGAGCAGCTCACCTCCCACCGCGGCAGCATCGTTTCGAGGCCCATCACCCACTGCTGGCAGGCTCCCGCAAGACATCGCCGCCCCCCTCGTGCCCTCGTATGCCACACCAAATCCCTTCTCCCTTCCCCGTCTCTGTGACAAGCCCCAGAGCCAGTGTCATCCTAATTGGTAGGGACAGAAAGAGGAGCAACAGGGCCTCCCCCTCCATGCTGCCAGCCCCTGGCCCCCACTCCTTGGGGCTGGGCCTTGGCCATCAGCCTAATAACTGGGACAGAACCTTATTCCCAGTTATCACCATGAGTGCCTTGCCCCTGTGCGCTTCCCCGGGCAGGATGAAACCCATTCCCCATGAGACAAGGGCTCCGACCCCGCGAGCAGGAGCAGGGCTTCCCAAAACACATCTCAAAACCAGCTTCAGATTTGCTCCCTCCACAGCTACCCCGGGCAAAAGCCCCTACACCGGTGGGGCGAGGAGAAGGGCTCTGCCCAGCGCAGAGACGCGGCGTTAGAGACTCAGTGACAGGGAGAGGGAGAAGACATGGGAAGAAACCGGCAGCGAGGATGCATTTCGAGGGGATTATTGCTATTATAAACCACCGCTTGGGGATTTATAATCAAGTAATTAATTCCTGGACGAGGCAGGAGGGGGAGGGTGGCAGAGGCGCTGCCGGGATTAATTGCATTGCAGGGAAAGGCTGTCACCTCCGACTCAATTCGGGAGCCGGAATGCGAAGCCTCCTCCCTCCTGTTGTTTTTCTTAAGGTCTCGGGCACCTCCAGCCTCACTGCTGCTGGGTCCTTACCACTGAAAATAACGAGGAACTAAAAAAACACAACTTCCCACTTGCACTTGGAGCCTCACACTCCACAGGCGTGCCTGGTGCCCACCCACCCACAGATGGACAGACAGACACACAGACAGCAGCACATCCACCGAAACAGGGTCTGAGGGACAGCAACAGTGACGCAGAGCCCCAGGCGGGGCGACATTTGCTGGTGTGTACAAACAGAAACCCAGGGGCCTGCGAGCACTCAAAGGCATCTCTGCTGCTGGTTTTAAGACCAGCTGAGTAGGTGGGAGCATCCACACGGACAACGATCTGATGCATATACTAAAATTCTTCTTTTTCCATCATTAAAAGGCCGCTATTCATGCTGCTGTTATTCACCAGGAGGCTGCAGCCCGCTCCCAGGTTAAACATGGTGGAAACCAAGCTCTGGAGAGTGGATGCACCGCCACTTGCCTGGAGAGAGCTGAGGGTGCAGGCAGAAAACCACATCCCAGATCCTGTGCTGGCACCCAGGCCAAGGTGCTGGTGGCTTTTCTGGGGGCTCAGCTGGGGTTTTGGGCCCAGCACTAGGCAGAGCTATGAGGCAGGAGGGCAGCAGCCCCGTGCAGCCAGGCAGAGGCAGCAATCTGCTCCGGAAGCAGCGCAGGCAGGTCCATGTCAACACAACCTGCTCCCAAGCGATGCTGGCTGAAAACAGTTTGCAACATCCCTCTGCATGGGCCTGCACACCCAGCTCTGGATCCTGCTCCAGCATCCACAGGCTGGAATTTCCCCACTGAAATCACAGGTGACTGATGGGAAAGCCACCCGCTCCAGGGACGGAGATCTCTTCCCACATCCCTGCTTGCAGGAGGCCGGTTAAGCCCAGGACTCAGGGCAGGTCTTGCAGTACAGGCTGAGTTTCTTGCTCTCCAAGCTGGAGAGCCAAAAGACACTGCAAGCCTTTGCACCGAGCCCTCCTCTACTCCTCCCTCCCTGCCAGCACTGACTCGCTGCCTCCACCGCGAGCAGCCAGACCCACTCCTCACCAGCCCAGAGAACAGATGAGTCTAGGGGGCTTCCGGGAGCCCCTTCCCACCTCCCCTGGCTGCCAGCTGGGGTACGGCTGGGGAAAAATGCATGAGAGAATCCAAGGCCCACAGCTCGCCGGGTGCAGAGGCCTAATCCCATCCCTCCCTGGGGTACACATCAGGTGCCCGACATGAAGCCACCCTGAGGCAGCCCCCGCTCTTGCCCCTGCTGCTGCCGGGACGCTCTCGTGGGGGGAAGCGGTGTTTCCCACTGCTGTCAGACACCAGGCAGGCAGAAGCCACCCTGCCGGCCCTACTGGCGTGAGGGACCCCCGAGGGACGGACCAAACAGCCACAGCCACGCACGTACCACCGTCCCCTTCCTGCCGTCCTGCAGCTGCCGCGGCAGAGCTGCCAACCGTTGTGTTTTGTAACAAACCTCAGGGTGCTCTGCTCCTGGAACCATACAATCAAGTGAAAGCACAAATATACACATACATACATATAAACAGCTTTCTATACATATAAGTTAATTTAATAGCCCCTCACAGCTGGAAGAAGTGACCAAAATCTAACCCAAAGCCATAGAAATTGGAGAATGGAGGACATGCAGCGTGTTCTTTAACACTCGCATTTCAGCCGCTCTTGATTTTAGGGTGATTCAGAAGTCATACGTGCCCGGGATAGCAGTGCTTTTCAGCCACAACAGCCGAAACCTTAACAAGACACGTGGGTATGAACTACTCCTTCTGGCACTGAGGGGCACAGTCTCATTGTCTCCACAGCATGAGCTGAATTCCTTAGGTATTTTGAAAAGGGAAATATATCCCTTCCCCTTCCATCCCCTCCCAAATCTGGTATTTCTGAAGTCATGAACTCCTCCTCCTCCTCCTCCAGGATCAGAATTTCTCAGGGTAATTTCTCATATTTCATGCATGACCTTGATGCTGGGAGAACTGCAGCTCCCTCCGTGCAGGCGTCTTTCCCGGGCTCCCAGCAATTCCATGATCCCAGTTTGCCTTTTCTGAGACATCGCCAGTTTGCGAAAGGAACACCAAAAACATTCTGTATTCCAACAGCGGCTGGGAGTGAACTCCTCTAGCTAATTAATAAGTTAAACTGCAGCTGGGGTAATTGGCTGGTCCACCCTGACCCTGCAGGCCACAGCGAGATGGGGCTAGTTGCTGGACACCAGTTTATCCTGCTGCCATTGCAAGTAATCTCTCCTCTCCCCATGAAAAACAAATTAAGGAGGGGGGTGGGGAAAGGCTGAGCCCTCAGAGTTGGTTAGCGGGGCTCTCTGGAGTCACACCATGGGCAGCCACCCCACGCAGGAGCAGGCCCACCAAAGGTGGAAGGAGACATGAGGTTATCCTTTGCTCACCAATCAGGAGCCCCACCGCCATCAGAGCATGGTGAATCCTCGGGAGCAATCACAGTGAACTGGGTGGGTTTCGGGTCCCGAGGTCAGGCACTGGGAAGGAAATGCTGCTTGGAGGGCCACCTCTGTAGGAAGCCAAGCAATCACTTCAAGGTCTCATTCCAGGTAGGATGTGCACAGCTGGTTCCCATGGGATCATGCCAGGGAAAGGCTTGCTGACCGTTGCTATCCACCCAGTGCTTGCAGGAAGGGAACCACGGCTGGGGAAACCACCCTTGCCCCACACACAGCTTACCACACCTCCCAGTTCATCGCCTCGAACCTGCACATGGGCAGCTCTGCACTGGCCTCAGCTCCCAGCAGCTGCTCCAGCATGGGACACATTCACCCTGCCCAGACATGGGTATGTCTGGCAAGGGACAGGGCTGCCCCGGCAGAGCAGAATTTCTGCAAGATTAAATGCCCACAGCCACAAGACAGAGAGGTGGTAATAGAGAGTTTAACAGCTTGGAGGGTACAGGGCATCTGGGCTCCTCAGTAGAGAGTCATCCCAGGGCTGCAGTACCACAAGCACCAGCTGTGTTACAAGCATGGGTCCAGCTCAGCCTGCCAGGCAACCTCCACTGCAAAGGGGCACTGGGAAGGTTGGAGCAGTGAAAAGCTTTACCGTCTTCATGCAGCTTTCACTGGCATATAGTACATGCTGTGCATCCTCCAGGGCCATTGCAGTAGCAAGAACAAGAACATTCCTGCACACTGACCTGTAGGAAGTAGCTCACACCCATCTGAGACCTCCCAGGCAGGGAGAAATCTGCATGCAAGATGTCTTCCTGGCTTGTCTTAGGCTGGTCTCACCACTGTCCTCTCCCAAAGGACAGGGCTGAGCCTTTTTTTTTTGGTGGGTCATGCCCCTGTTCTGCCTGGAGCCCAGCACTCCCCACATTCCCCCTTTGAAGCCCCTAGCCGCCCATGGCTCTGGGGACAGCACCGGGGCAGCAAAATCCCAGGACACGCCCCAAGGTTTTGCCTACTCTGAGGATGGCTGGGGACCCCGTGTGCCTCTTGGGGAGAGACTGTGGCACCCCTTCCCTGGGGGCTTGAGTGCTCGCCAGCTCCTGCCCAGCTCCCAGTGGGATCAGGAAGGAGCCTGGCAGCTTTGCCAAAGCCAGAGAGGTGCCCCACGACCCGCTGAACAGCTCTGCTTTCAAACCAAGCTGGAGAAGTGAGAAGCTTTACCATGCTCACGCAGCTTCACTGGGATATAGCACACACTGTGCATCCTTCAGGGCTTTGCCAAGGGAAGGGCAAGGACGTCCCTGCACACTGACCTGTGGGACACTTGCAGGATGCTAATTCCCAATAAACTGGGCTGACACCGGCTGGGGGTTTGGAGGGTGCTCAGGAGGGCAGGTGGACTAACCACAAGAGCGCACAGCCCTCGTTCCCGTAGGAAATGGGGGAGGGGAGCGAGCGCCAGCCTGTTCCACA